CTATATATAGATCATTAGATAATGACCAGACTTAAAACAAAACCCCTCTGTTCACATGCACTGCAGTCGTAACACAGCATTTCATTATTTCATTATATCAAAGTCACGATGTCCAGCACAATAATTAAATCAGTGTTCAGAGACCACAAACACACACATTCAAATCATTTTTGCTGTAACCTGTCAGAAATGTAAGTGCAAGGTTTAATTCGACTGATTTAACCAAATGTGCACAATGAGTTAAGTTTGAAATTATGATTTGAGAATTGTGAATGGCTGTGTAAAACTTTTCCCAAAATGCATTGTTGATCCCTTCTTTTTCTTTGCATCTTCCTTCAAACAAAAGCTAGTAAAAAGTATAATGGCACTACTTTTTGGGTCTTTAAATGTCTAACTAACTAAACTAACATTTACATTAATCATCTGATACTTATTGTGACACTTAATGCATACACACATGTTTTACACTGTACTTATATTTAAAGGAGCTGTATGTAAGAAATTTATTTCAATTAATCATAAAATGGCCCTGAAATGTCACTAGACATTAAGAAATCGTGTACATTTCAAATACTTATATCACTGACAACAGTAGTCTGGCCAGGATATTGTCATTTAAAAAGTGCAGTTGCAGCCCTCAACTGATGTTGATGTTGTCATGTGTTTTGGTCTGATGCTCCACCCTCCACCTATCTACCAATCACAAAGTCAGTAGTGTTGCGGCATCCGGGTTGCCAGCTCTGCTCTAGTTACCACAGCTGCAGCTCGTCACGTTCCTGCTGGATCCTGCAGCCTATCTGGCAACCTCGAGTCAGGGGGGAGGGGGAGGGGATACACCACTCTACAGTAATTTGACAGTGATTGCAGTACTAGTTTTGGCCACAATCTTACATACAGCTCCTTTAAGAAATCCCTGTAATTACACTGCTGACCCTTCCCTTACCCCTTCCCACCCTTAAACCAACACATACCACCTGTCCCTAACTTAACCTTAATAGCGGAAAAAGTATTTTGCAATACAACATGAACACAGTTAGTACCTAACAATGAATTTTTTTTTTATGAGTGTGTATGTATGTATGTGTGTATGTTCGTTTGTCCATTCATTCATTCATTTATTAATTTAATCACTTATTCTTTTATTCATTCATCCAATGATTCATTCTTTATTTAACCAGGTTAAAAACTCATTGAGATTAAAATCCCTTTTACAAGAGTGACCTGGTCAAGAAAGCAGCAACAATAATATAAACATACAAATACACATCAAAACAGAAAAACACAATCAAAGATCACAGCAGCAATTTAGCAAAGGATTAAACACATAGGGCCGTATTTTAACGATCTAAGCGCATAGTCTAAAGCGCAGGGCGCAAGTGCACTTAGGGCGTGTCCGAATCCACTTTTGCTAATTTAACGACGGGAAAAATGGGCGACGCACGGTCTAAAAGGGTTGTCCCTGTTCTTTTAATGAATAATGTGTAGTGGTGGAACGGATCACAAAATTCACGGTTCGGATCATTTACGCTTTTTGAGCCACGGATCGGATCATTTTCGGATCAGCAAAAAAAAAAAGTTTATGGGGGGGGGGCTAACTTTGCTTTTCATTTATTACTTATAGCTCACAGAGTTTGGCTAGTTAGCTTTAGCAGTTAGCCCCTGCTTATGGTAAAAAAAAAACATTTCTTCGTTTCTTCATTAAAGGTCCTTCAAAAGTAGGCTACCCTTTTTTTCCACAGACACATTGTATTTATGGGGCGATTGGCTCAAGAAAACCAGTATGTGGAACTGAGTGCCCATGAGCAAAGATAGCACGTGCAAGTGTAGGCCTACTGGGGGATACTTCCACTGAAATGAATAGGAAAGATATTTCTAAGTATTACAGACCAGTGGATCTCTGGACCCGGTTTTTACATCGGACAATTGGTGACCCAACACAAAATTGTGAATTTTATGAAGGTAAATACAATGTCTTAAATATATAGGCCTACATGAAGTTCCAAGTGCCCACTTATCACCAGTCTATGGTTCAAACTAAAACATTTTAGGAAAATCGACATCAATTTATGAAGTCAGCTTATGTGATGTTCTCTCAAATTTTTAATTTGTATTGACAATTCAACATTCAAGATAACTTGAGTGAAATGAGTGAATGCAAACTAGAGAAAGACAACTGCAAAAGTGGAGGAAATGGTTGAAAAGTATATTAAGCCCCGCCTCTTTGAAACAACATTTTGAACCTGGCTTAATCCAGAGTTTAGATTTCTGTTGGAGATGTATACAAATTAGTGCATATTTAATTAGATCATTTACACATATAACATTTCAGAAAACATTTTACTAATACAACAAATGTTTGCAATTCTATGTAATCAATCAACTGGGCAAGTATATGGTGACATCTAGTAAAAAAAAATTTTACCCTGTTCACCTGGGGTGCTTGCCTTAAAGGGATAGTTCACTTTGAAATTAATTTTTTGGTATGTTTTAGCTTACCTCA